TTAGAAAATTAATTACACCGCGTTATACGCAACAGTCTGAGAAAAAAAACTGAACGTCGCACCTGTAATTCGAAAGACAATGCGGACACACGTACATAAAAAATATACTTCAAGCGAGCGTTCTCTGCAAGCGTTTATCGGATCTCGATATAAGTAAAACAATTAAAAAAAAAAAAAGAGAAAATGTCTTTTCTCACGCGCGGAATGTTGGAAGAAAATTGATTTTGGTTTCGCGTCGTGAGACGCGTCGGATTAAACTTGAGGCTTGCAAATGAGTTACCACTTTAGCAATTATTGTCGTCGACTCACCGAATAATTAAACAGCATTAAAATCATTTAAAAAAATACACTAAATGTTTTTTGTTGCTTTTGCCTGTTTTCCGTTTAATTCGATTTTACAATATCGTATAAAAAATTGAAGCGCGATTTGACCGCGCAGAGGTTAATAATAAACGCGTCTCTCGAAGCCGGACGGTGTCCATTCTCATATCCTACGGAATTTCTCCGATCCGGAGAAATTCCAATGATCCTGACCGCAATCGTTGCTTTTCTCTCATTGCCGAGGAGTGCTTTCTCAAGAAAGCGAGGGGAACGGAACGGCGCGAGGAGGAAGGAGAGAAATAGAGAAGAAGTGCACGCCTCCACCGGCTTGAGCATCCCCGCCGCACGATACCGGCGGCGGCGGCGGCGGCGTCTTTTATTTATAGGACGGTCGAGCGCAAAAATGAGAAAAATCAACGACAGGATTAATCAACGACATTCTTAATACCCGCCGCGAGCGATGACGGAAGTTTTCAGAATTGTTATAATATAACGCATGCACACACACCGCCGCCGTATCGGAGAAACCTCGCGATCTCTCGTGTGCAACGCCAAGAAAATAAATTCGCCGGCATATACCGAGAGATAAGATCGCGTTTGATTTTATTAATTAGGGACTGTTATAGCCAGAGAAGGACCAGTTTATCGAAATTAATCGTTTCTTTCATATCTTTCCCGCGTTTTCTGCGGACAAAGATCAACATTCTCACAAGTTGATGAAAATTTCTTCACGTCGAATCGTTCTGGAAAAGTACGCAACAGTTGTTTTCAAAATAACTCGTTCAAGTTTTTTAGTTCCTGTTTTTTCTCTCTTCGTAACAAAAAAGTTTTATCTGATCTCAACAAACAAATATAACTGATGACAAATGGCGAAATAATTCGATTGGGAAATCAATTCATAGATGCGATAGTTGCATGCGCGACTTGTTCTTTTTTCTCTATCTTCCGGGAAGAGCTCGATGATGACATTACGCATAAATCCTCGCGTGAAACGTTGAAAATGATATAGCGGAGCGAAATTAATAGCGAGTCGCAAAGCAAACGCAGCAGGCAACTTCGAGGGAGGGAAAAAAAGGCTAATCGCGGAAGTACATCGCGAGGCCGTACGATCGATCTGATCGGCGCTAATTAACTGTCAAATTAACACGAGTTATTGTCCCCTCGAGGAGGTCGTGAGGAAAAGAATCTGACTGCGCACTTCGCAAGAGTATACATGCTCGCTGTCGAGATTTATTACGAGCGTGCATCGCCTTTCGTATAAATTTTTATTGACTTTTATAGAAAAAGTTATTTAAAAAAAACATAAATAAATAAAATTAAAATTATCTAAAACACTTACACACTTTTTTTTATCATCACGTCGCGTCTCCGCGTGAAATAGAAAAGTTTGGTTTTTTACCGCAGCAGTTTTTTATCTGAATAAATAAAGCGTAAAAAACAACACACAATAGCAGTCTCTTAAAAATAATCTCGAGAAAAAAAGTTGTGTCGTGCAAAACTCTAACGTACAGAAAGGAACGATTACCTTGATATTGGCATAAATAAACAGATGTTGTGTAAAAGCAAACAGCAATATAATTTTTTTATGCAATAATCAATCGCGTTTTAACGTCCATATATTCATACGTGTCATTCAGCAGCATTCGTGTATACAACGCGAGTTTTTATACGCGACGTGTATTTAATTCCTATATTCAGCGAAGACCGCAACTGATATACTGGCCGAACACCGTTTCAACCACTTAAAAATTGCGTTTGTTTATAAATGTTTGAAAAATGTAAATATAAATCGCGCGCGTTTAATGTAAACACAAACGCGTCGCTTTACACGGAAGTAACGCGTAAAAAACTAATCAATAACAGCGTTCGCAAAACAAATCGCTTGCGAGTCAGTATTATCGATGATTGGCGATAATTCGGTAGACACAAAAAATGACGCAGCATTAAAATAAAAAGAAGTAGAGAAAAAAAAACTACCGATAGCTGAGGCTATCCAATACGTGTGTGTGATTTTGGAACAAATAATAATTGCACACACAATTGCGAGATTCTGCATCGCAACGCAACGAGATTAGCCGCTCTCGTCGTCCCATCGACTGATCCTAATGACGTACACTTTTTTTTTTTTTTTTTTTTTTCTAATCACTCGCCCGGGAGAGTGCTCATTATTTCGCAATTCCTCGGTCCTTAAGTGCCGGCGTGCACTTAAGTTGCGCCGCAATTATAGACACGATACCGTTCGCGTCGGATTTGCACGCGTGTGTCGGATGCATTTTCCTCGCGAGGCAAAAAGTTTTTATATACACATCGGCGCTCGCGGTTCGCGTTCGCTCGGAAACGCACACGAATGTCAAGCCGGGGGAAGACTTCAGCGATTCAAACTTCAGCATTTGACGTGATCATAATCACAGAGATCGCGCAGTAGATCGTAACGACTAATCCCGGTTTTGCCGGAAGAGGCAAAATTATGTGGCAATCAAACCGCGGTATATACGCAAAGTCTCTCTCCGCATTTGTAATTTCAAATGGCAGAGTCTATTTTCAGAGCTTTATGATATGAGACGCGTTTCTTCTGCATCGCATTATATTTGTACACGTACATATCGCGCGTGTGTAATTAATTTAAAACTAATAATCACCGATGAAATGCGGAGGGAAAGAGAGAAAGAGAAATAGAAATCGGAGTTACATCGTGCGTGCGACGTGGTCAGAAAATAATAATTAATTTTAGAACCGTCGAAAAAGATGTCACGCGAGACGCTGATGTGCACGTGAAAAGTTCGATTTAAAACTTCTCCAAGGTCTCGAAACTCCGCAAGCGTAACGCGATGTGCAACAGGTTTGTGCCAATTGATCGACTATTCTCACGAGTGTGCTTCGCGAAAACCGCCGGCGCTGATGCGCCGGGTGGAAAATCGCAAGCGCGATTCTCTCAACGGATGCGCGGAAATTGTCGGTTCCACAATGCCGCGCAACTCTCGAATCGAACGCGCGCGGCGGCACTCGTTAAAAAAATGGTTAATAAATACGATTCACAACGCGAGCGTGTGTATGCGTGTGTGTACGTGCACACGCGTGCGTGTGCGTAAAGCGGACTCTGGCATTTTGTCAGAGACGTGCACTTATCCCATCGTGCACGCCGCCGCTCTTTCGTTTCTGCCTTTTTTCCCTTCAGTTCCCTTTATCGTCCACTTGTTTCACCCGATCCCCGCGCGCGCGCGCACACACACACACATACACACGCGCGCGCACACGCACGCACATGCGTTTTAAGTACACGCAAGAGCTGTGTTTATCATTCCACGGCGGCCTTCCTAACCTCCCACTTTCTTTTTCTACCATCCTTGCCCATCATCCGTTCGTCCGATGATTCTACCTTATTATCCGCAGCCTACCCTAACGTGCATCCACGACGGACAAGACGTGGCGCAGTGACGAAAAACCGCGCGCGGAATTGAGGCAGCGTGCGAACGCGCGCTGCGAGGATAGGCAGTTTCCCGCATCTATCCGAGAAAGAGGAAAACTTTAAAGAACTTACGTATATATCACGCTGGCGTAAATATTTATCTTACAGATGTTAATAGTCGTAATACACTACAGACTTTACTGATCATTAAATCCGAAGAAAACACTTTTCGCACAAATTATCACGGAAAAGCCCGGAAAGATCGGGAGAGATCGAGAGAATAACCGTTTTGTGTGCCGAAGTATCACATATCTCTCAAGTTCTGGCGAAGAAAATCAAGGTTCTCTTCTTCGAGCTGCCGGGTGAAAACGTCGACGTGAACAAATTAAAATATCTCGCGGCATTACAAACCTATTAATCAAAGATCCGCTTTCCCGTAAGTGGCGTGGTTAATCAAGCGTCTGCGTATAAATTTCGCATATCGAGGAAGAAGGACTATCCCCGTGCGCACACGCGCGCGAGAGTTGAATCATCGCGCACGCACACGTGTTCGCGAGGAATCATAATAAATTTGATCGCAGCGTGCGATGCTTGCCGTAGACGCGAGCATCACGTACGTACGTACACACCGTGAACCGCAACCGACATGCAGTGGGTCAATTCGATTCCGCCTTTAATGACTATTCGGAAGGGAGGGAGAGGAGGGAGGAAGACGGGGGAGAGACGAGCCTTTTAATAACCCTTTCCCCTTGAACTCCGTTCGATCGGAGGTTCGAAAGTCGCGGCAAGGTTAAATACTCTTGCGCGCTCCGCTGTATATACACATATGTGCAATATATATATACCCGAGACAGATATCCTTCCTTCCGGTTTTCGCCGATAATTATTCGCTGTATCGCGATGATGAGTGTTACTCATTTCTTTTTGTTTGATGAGAAGCGTCTTCTAAAAATTGTACAAGCGAGAATCGAGACGATACCTCCGAAGTACTTGATCCAATGTTTAGCGCTGAAAAAATATCAAAAGTCTAATTTTAAAAAACGTTTGTGCAACTTATTACACGTTGTCTTGTGCGCGTAATAAGTGAAAACAATGTGTATGCGCAACAAGTATAAAATAATTCAAACTGATTGCACAAAACGATTCAACTTTTCGATGACTCATGCGGATAACGAAAGAGGAGCGAAATAAAAAAAAAAAAAAATCAAGATCTCTGAAGATTTCTAAAGAGACCGGACGAAGATAATGAAGTTTTTTCCTTTTGTGTTGTCAGAAGGGCTCCACAGAAGGGCAAGAAAGGCAGCAAGAGACACGGAGCCGACGGTCACAGGATGGTCACTAGATAATTTCGTTTGGGACGGAAGTCTTCAAGTAAGCCGAAGGACAATTCCAGCGGACCTTAATCTTCGGGACCACATTTCGTATCGCATACACAAGTAAGTGCTACTTACGGTCACGATACGGCTACTGGTTTGCGTACATGTTACTGCGTACACACGTTGTGTGTCACGTGTACGTACTTAAACTACCGTCTCTGCGAGAAATTTTCCAACACACGGAAAAGAATTTTTATGTTGAACATAGAAACTTCCGTCGTGTCAATATAAAATTTGCAAAAATAAGAATTATCATATTTATTATTTATTATTTTATTCTTAAAAGAGAGATTGCATATGTGTGTGTGTACTCGTGTCATCATTTCAGAACGCGAGACGACGATGCGCAAAAGTGCGCTTCTCGATTTTAAGTTTACGCGCGTCGCAATAGTTTCTTGTCATCTCGAGTTCTGCACGCGTGATTTACGATTAGAAAGAGCATTTCGTAATATAAGCAAAATACCGGAAGTGCGACCTTTGCGCGATCAAGTCCAAATCGAAATGGCGCGATTAACCATTTTTTACTCGACTCGATTATCTGTTTATTAAGAAATTGCGCGACGCAATCTCGCAGTAACAAAAAACATGTACCTCTCAAATAGTTCGAATTAATCACGCAATTTTGCACACACACACACACACACAATCGCGCACATGTACATAAATTTTTATCTCTTTAATACAACGAATTTTCTGATATCTCTGAACGTTTCGGAGATACTCGCTCGTTACAATTTCCGCGAAATCGAATCAGGACGATGCGTTGCGTATAAAATCGCGGCTTATAATAACACAGCGCAGTTCTTTCTTCTTATAAACATAAACCCATCATTACCTTTCCAACACTAACCCATTCTCGACATAGCTGTGTGATTCCGACGCGATATACATATTCAAGTGCGCGAGCGAGCGAGATGCGCGCGCGGTTATATTCATACACTTCAAACGCCGTCGTAAAGTTAAAAACGCGCTACCACACGGCAAGTATAGTGATTAAGAAAAATTATGACCGTTTCAGTTGTAAAATTACAGTAATTAATGCGCGCTCGAGCGATATCTGCGAAATTAAATCTCTCTATAAATTAAATGAAATAAAGAACAGAAGATCTGGCGTTCTCTGTTTGTTTTATTATTTTATTTAAAACTCTTTATCTGAAATAGTTTTATTTTTATTGCACAGGAAAAGAGAGAGAGACAGAGTGTGCAGAGAGATGAAGAAGAGAATTCGCTGTGTGTCAGCAGAAAGAAAAGAAAAATAAACAAAACTCACCAGTGAGGTTGCGCGGTCCAAAACGTCAGATCGGAGCAGGATCGTGGCACCAAACTCTTTCGCGAGGCGGGAAAGGACGAAGAAGGAGGGAGCCGATGCACCCGAGAGACGCAAAGGTGGGCTGTCGTAAAATGCGGTTACGCAACACGCAACTGGTGGCGCACACGCGACACGGCCGATCGAAAGCAAAAACGTCAGTGTCGCGACGAACGTCACTGCGTTGCCGTTGTCGTCCTCAAGTAAACGATTATATCGAGCGTGTACCGCGCGACGAGAAAGAGAGGAGCACCACGCGGAGATCCCGAGCGCGATGTAGAAATATACAGAAGAAGAAAAAACCGAAAGAGGGGAGAGACGATGGAAAAGAGAGAGAGAGAGAAAAAGAGAGAGAGTGAGCGAGAACAAAAAGCTGACAGATCGGAGCACGCGCGAGAGAAAGAGACAGGCTTGGGTGTCGTCGATAGAAAGAGCGAGAGAGAAAGATAGACAAAAGAGAGGCGAGAGACGGAGAGATTACGCGCGAGGCGTGATCGTGCCAGGGGCGTCACTCACGAAGCACCGCTTTCACAGCCGTGAGAGTAGGGCGCTCCGGCTTGACAGCTGTGCAAAAATCGGCAAAATCCACAGACCAACCGTGGCAACACTCTCTTCACTCGCCGCACTGTACGCGCACTGTCGACAGTGTCGGGCGCGTTTATGTTCACTGCACTCGCGTACACTCAACAATAAGCCCGCGTTCGCGCGTCTTCGGCCGCGTTCGGGTGCCGGTTCGCCGCCGGTGTCGCGCTCTTGCGTCACGTTGAGTCATCACACTTAGTGTTAACATATACGCAAGATACACACACACTCAGATAATCAAAAACATAAAATATAAAGTGCTTGAAATTTTCGAAACGAAATTATATCGGAAAAAAAAAATAATAATCGTCTCGCGTCCTGATTTGGAAAATCCCTAGGTTGGTTCTTTTAGATTTCTTAAACGCGTTTTTTTTTTCTGTAGACACATCTTAATTTATATATTTCATGAGATTTTGCAATCAAAGAGACTTATTACAGACTATCTCGTTAAAAATATTTAAAAAATACTTGTTTTTATAGTTTATAATTCTTTTGTTTCTCACTGAAGAATATTTGTTCAGAGCGATTAGTGTGGCAAATGTTAAACGCACACACGACAAGTGTTAATTCAGTCCCACAGTAGAGCGAAAAAAATTTCAAAAATCTCTCTGTTCTCGTGTGCGACAAGTAAAAAATCATCAAATATATTTCATGAGTGATATCGTGTGTATAAATGTATGTACATATAACGCTGCGCGGGAAGCAATGCGATACGAACGCGGGATTTCAAAGAGAACTAACGGTATAGTACTACCATCTCGAGAATGTTGCTCGAACTTTCGTCGTAATTTTCATTGATTGATACCGCAAACGTCGACAGCAACAAATTTCTTATCTTCGTCCGGTACCACGATCGATTGTCGCGTGCAACAGCGGGAGATTCGAGAATGCGCGGTTACGTCACGCGTGTGGAAACAACGCAGCTTTCTCTAATCTAACGGATTAAGGCGATTTGCATTTGTCTTCTCTTTTAGCCTTATCTTATCGCATCCCAACAACTCGCGATTTTGCATAAAAATACACGAACTGAATTCTTACAAGATGCAAAAATCTCTCGTCGAATTACAATAGCATCGCTAAAATGATTAATGTTCTTGTTTGTTTCTTGAACTTATTTGTTCAACCGTTTTACACTTACTTTATAATTACTTTATAGTTTTACTTTTGTTTACAACTTTTAACATTATTTTTAACACGTTCGTTTCTAAATAGAAGACAAATTTTTCTTGCATTTCGTTGTACTTGCTTCGATGGCTACCAAGTGCAGTGTTCAATATCGCGCGATCTTGAATCTGTAGATGAATAAACACGCACGATCGTATTTTGGACGATCTACAAAAAATAAATGTGTTAGGCCTAAGCGCGTTGAAGTCACCTAGCGCGTGCGCGCGATGGCTCGGCGATCTCTTCAAGCGAGCTTTCGCTAGAAACGAGTGTGTGGATTTTGGCATTCAAATCCCTCGATTGCGAGCTAAGCTATCTTATCGCAGAATTGCAAACAAACGCATTCAAAATCTCATTAATAATCAAATCACTCGATTATGCACTGTGTATATGGTGAAAAAAATTTCGTTGACCAAATTGAGTCGATAATTTGATTTCGCTCTCCTCGCGTCGAGGAAATAATGAGATCGCAATGATAAAAAGACACCAATAAGATAAAAACGTTAATTGAGAGGAAGCTAAAGCGTAGACGTAACTCTTGTTATAGAAAATACTCGCGCTGTTATAAGAAAAATAAATTTATAATTCGTGTACCGTCCCAAAGACTGATCAGTTCTCGACAAAAAGCTAAACAAGAGGAACACATTAAAATCCCACTTGTAATAGAGCTCGGGATATACCATTTATAAACCCGACAAAGTGAGTCATTGGGAATCGCGCCGCTGATCAAGCTTAACGGCTTTTCTTCGTTTACTTCTCTTACTTGTGTGTGTGTGTGTGTGTGTTTATTTTATCGGCGTGGACTCTTCCTATAATCAAGACCACATGTGTGTGACGTGATGTCGCCCGAGAAACAATTGCAGGTCTTGTTGCGCACATATGTGTGACTGACTCATCGTGGAACATGAATTCTGCAATCGACACGCCTGAAATATACATCACGTCGTTGTGTCTAGTTGAAGATATAGCGAAGTCAAAGGAACCTACTGTACCTACCAATGGTGCCTATATATTTTCTAAATGTACATATATATATGTATATACATATAATGTAACAAAGTCTATCGTTATTTTTATATTTTGATATTTATCTTCTTTCGAGCAATAGATTCAGTGTCTGATTATAGTGCGTTTTGTTGCGCTATTGTTTATCCATCGTTTATTTTTTTAATTGAGAGAAATTGTAATTTTTCTACGTCATCGTATCGCCTTTCCTCATGTCTTTTCAAAAACTCTCAAGATCGTAAAATTGAAAATCATACTTCTTGTCTCACAAAAGCTTTTTAGTCCTACGTGTATAAAATTTATCATGTTTGTCTCAAAACTTCAATACGACACAACGAAAAAATTTTCCCGTTAATCAAACTAAAAAAAATCGAAGCAAACAATGAGAAAAGGAGATAGGGATTTAAAGGTAAAATTTGCTTTTTCTCACGTGGGAAGATTTGTCGCGCCATCAAGCGTCGCACGGTCGTACTATTGATCGCGACTTCACCCTTCTGCTATTCCTCGCTGTGCCGAGCTCGCCGAGTCCGAGCGAAGATGGCGACTGGAGGGTAGGATTGTGTACAGACGCTGCGCTGCGAAGACGATTCTCTTTCTCCGACGGAGACGGCCGTCGATTAATCGGAGCCAGTTGCCCGCCTGACTCGAAATCCGGTGAGTAGACAATTGACGTGTTTCTTTCGCGTTTAATGTAGCGACGTTGTGCGCGCGCGATTACGAACCACGTTATTGTGCGCGTTCGCCGCCGAGAGCCGCGACGAAATCTTGCGCGATCAGTCCATTTGCGGTAAGTTCAATGCGCACGGGATCCATGTCACGCAACTACGTAACGATGAGAAATAGAGCAACACGCACGTGTATACGCGCGGATGTGCGACACAATACGCGCGCACGTGAATGTGTGTGTGTGTATTGTGTGGGATGTATGTGTGCGTATGTGCGTGCGTGCATGCGTGCGTGCATGCGTATGTGCGCTTGTGTCAACACGATGATTTTCCGTAAACGAGACAGAGAAAATGTGGAATCGGAAAAATTTATACTTTTTCAAGAGATCGGAGAATGTATAGAAAACGAAATAACGTAATAGAAAGTCCATAAATTAAAAACAATGATGTATTATGCTTATGCGAAAGAAAGTAACAATTAGCTTAAAATCGAACGGTCTTCATGTTATGATCTAATTAATATAATTAATTAAACGTATTTGTACACGTTTGAAAATTTAATATGTTTAAAAATAATATTTCTGATGATCATGTGATTTTATATTCGTGTATGTACTATTATATGTTGTTTCTTTTTAAATAAAATCAACTCTATTTTATTTTATTTTTTTTTTTAATGAATACAGCAAAGTATCTTAAATCATAATCTTTTCGCGATTTTCTGTCTTGTAATTTTCTTATCAAATATCAGCAAAGAACTTGCCATCCTCTCGAGTGGCATCATCTCAAGTGCGAGGTATTCTGTCAACGAAGCATCGCTGCTACGACGACGACGACGACGACGCGCTTTATATTTCTCGCGCGCCTCAAGTTGCTCCACTTTTCTCGCAAGCACGCCGCGTCCAACGTCGTCAACGATGATGACAAAAATTGATCGGCGTGGTTAGCACGAGCACGGGGTCACACGCACGAGCTTTCAATCGCACGATGTAAATGCCCTCCGCGATCAATGCCCTTCGCGTTCTCGTACACAAGGTGTGTCCCACCACCGCCAGACACGCACGATTTTTCCGATCTTTCTTGCATCTTTTCTCCGCGATAAAAATCCTTAAAAGAAATAACAGATCCGAAAGGATATCCGAAAAACTTTCACGTATATTGTACGTATGTAGTTTTGAAAAATTCTACCGAATGAGTTATTTTACTAAAAGGGAGACTGAAGTAATTAATTCGTTCGGATAAAATAAACTAATTTAAACAATACACCAGAAGAAGTAGTAAAATGTCTCTTTCCGTTACTATCTGTGTTCAAATACTTACATATTTCGCATAAACATAACACATATGTTTATCTTGTCTGAGTTATATTTGTCTGACGATCACACAAATAAGCAAGGTCGTATTGACTTCTATCGAGTTATACTTGATGATGAGCTTTTAATGGCGATTCTCGCTGATTGGAACTAGCAAATTATCGCTTCCGGTATCTAATTTCTTTCAGATGGTGGCGGGTATCTCCGGGGTTTGCGGCTGATTCTGGATTCACTGCAGTGGCTAAAAAAACACACACACACACACACGCTAATACACACGTACACACACAATAATTAATCATTCGCTCATTCTTCGTTTCATGTCGATATCTAAAAATAATACAAGCAATTAACACGCATGTAACATTGAAACTTTCGTTGCTACTTCTCGTCATAAATGTCTAGTCAGAGAAACAAACGACCGAAGTAGAAGTAATATTTTGGCGCGAAGAAAACGCCGTGACGCACTCTCTCCGATTCGGTTTATCGTGAGATAAATCGAAAAGGCGCAAGCCAAAGAGTAAATATAGAATCAAGATAACCAAGCTGATTCAGTGGGATCTCGACGATCGTTCTCTTCGCGAGGCGTCATGCCCCGATGATGGTATCGTGGCCGAAGAAAAATCGATTTTTTCGCGTATTAAAATAGTTCCTGTCTACATCAACGAAAATCGACGTTGCGAAATAAGGAAAACAAAAAAATTTGATTCGAGAAACAATCGATTGTCATTAACTTTCGTCGATGTTGCGTCATCAATGTTTGCGTTGATGTTAGAGATAAGATTAACTCGAAATACTTAATTGTAGTATATTATCCGAATGCCATCGAAAGCAAAGAGTAAAAAAAAAAACAATTACGCTCAAGAACGTAACGACAAGTAACGAAAAGAAACGCGAAACAGAAAAAATACTTTTAGGAAAGAATTTTAGATTTAATCAAATCTTTCTTTTTTTGTAAATTGAAAAAAATAACAATTGTTTTTGCTCGTCATCGAGTTTTTGGAGTTATTCTCGATCTCGCTCGAAGATTACGGCGGGCTGGACGAGTGTGTCCCGTGGTAACATCGATGCTAGCTAATCGAGTCAATAGTTCCAATTCAGCGACCATGAGTGATACACACGTGTTCTGATCGTCGTTTTAGTCGTTGCTTCGCTAAAAGAGAATTTATCAAAATTTATACGTGCGTTCGAGCGACTTTTGGTGCAATAATTTTTTCCTGATTGTTGAGCGAATTTTATTTCATTGATCATATTTAAATTTATGTTTTATAATTAACATATTAGTAAAATTATAACGAATAATAACATTATCGGAGACTATATTGTTAAAATAATATAGTCAATATTGACGAGAAATGTGCGATACACCGTAGCTACTCGCGTACAGTGGCGGAACGAGTTTTTGAAAGAACATATTGTGTGCGCGGAGACTCGAATGCTTCTTATACTTTAAAATCAACAACCGGAGTGTTGTCTCGAATTAATAGTCCGACATCTCCGAAAATGTATCTCCGACGTAGATAAGATAGATAACGATCAGTATTGCCAGCGGACAAACAACAGAAAAAAAAAAAAAACGATCAGAAGAGTCGCAGAAAGAAGAGTCGCACGGAAGGAAGAGTAACAATTGCGCATAGAGAGGACAGAAGCTTCGTCTGGAAAAACCGGCTCTTGGAAAGGGTGTCGGGGGATCGTCTGGATCGTTGAACGAATACAAGGGGAAAGGAGAAAGAGAGATAGAGAGAGAAAGAGAGAGAGGGAGAGAATCCTAACACTGATATCGACCGAGAATTGCGCTTGCGTGGAAAAAGACTCGAGCGCAATCGCTCTACAAGAGAGCAACGGCAAGTCGGGGGAGAGCTCTCTCGTTCTTCGTCGTTCCTCAGTCGATTGTCGCACGGACGAGAACGGATCCGTCGACTTCCAGAGAGTCCAACACTTCCGGTACTCGCCTGACCGAGCCCGGCGCTGGTGATTCCAACGCTCACGTTTTCCGGAACCGACTTGGTCCCCCTCGGGACGCGACCTCGCGGAGGAGAGCTCGACTCCGCTCGGCATCGCATCGGGAATCGTCATTGTCATCCGTTCGGGGAATAGAACCCGGGTAGAGAACGGGTGGAGCGGAGCAGAAGAAGAGGGGCGCAAGCGTTAAAGGTATATCGGGAACGATAAGAGCGCGATAAGCGCGGGACCGCATTTTATAAACGTGCGCGTGTGCGCGCCACTTCTCTTACCTTTTCCTAACCGTTTCTCTCTCTCTCTTTCTCTCTCTCCCGCGCGTCTCTTGCTTTGGTTCGACCTCGCTATCGCCGCGCCGATAAAAGAATCAAAGATTTTCTTCGAGGACCGTTGTTAGTTCGGAATCGTCGATGGTTGGGAACGGTTATTAAGAAGACTCGCGAGAAACCTCGGCGGTTGAAACCGATAACGATTGCGGTACTTGTCTCGCCATCGGTTGCGGGATAATATAAAGTGACATCGATGCCTGGCGATGGTTTCGTTCAATTTGATTACACGTACGGATAGTGAACTCATAAGTAATTGCAGTCCTTACGAAATGGTCTTATCGGTTATCAATGTTTGCTTATAAAAAATCGATCTGATAAAAAAAAAAAAGTATTTTTCAAGTATTATATTAGTATTGTGTCACTTCTTCAGAGAAATATCTCACGTGTAATCACATATTTATCGGAGATAATCCCAGTCGACGCTTCCTGACGATTCTTTGAACGTTGAAAATATATATATATATCGAACCATTGTTGACTCGAAAAGTAACCGCACGGCAATCAGCATGCAGCAGCAAACAGTTGTGAGCCAAGTAGCTGAACCCGAACAGTCGCAGGAAGCTGAGGTCGAGCAGGAAGTTCAATTAACCGAATTACTGCCGGTAAATCAGTCGCGCATCACGGAAGATATCTTTGAAGACACCAGTACGACCGACGCTCTGAAGGCGCTCAGGAGCCTCTCGGGCGACAACGGCGAAAGTTTCGATCTGAAGGAGTTTGAGTTCAACGAGAACGTCGAGCAGTCGAAACATGGAGACGACACGGACGCGAATTCTCAGACGCGAAAGAGAACGTACGACAGCAGAAAGAACGCGGAAGACAAAGAAGAGAATCCGAAGAAGGTTCGAAGAAGCAAGAACATCTCCGCGAAAGCTCCGAAGCACAACAAGCTGACGAAATCGAACAAGAGAAATAACGAGACGACAGAATGCGATTACGAAACTGATAAACAACACGGGTCAATGAACGTCAAAGAAAGAACTGTCGAAAGACAGACGAGTTTCGAAAGAGAACGCAATTCGAAAACAGAAGCGCAAAAAACAACAAATAGCGAGATTCTGCAGGACGTGTGCGAGAAGGATCATCACATAGCTGCGAACGATAACTCGGGCGTTAAATCTGTTTCGCGAAAGAAAGTTAACAGAGATAGAAAACAAAATTGGAACAGCAACAAGGAAATGACCGAGAACGACAATTCCGAGCTCAGAAGGAAGATCGACGATATTATTCAATCTAACAATTTGCTGAACAACAACGTCGAGTTCGAAGAAGACGCTCCGGAGAACATCGGTACCTCTTCTGTCGCGTCGACAAAAACGAAAACCGATAACGGCTCTCGGTGTAACAAATCGAAAATCAAAAGAAAAAACGTGAGAACGGTAAAAGCCGAGAAGAAAAACGTCGAAACGAAGAAAACGTCGATGCAGAAGAAGCAGTATTACTGCGAGGAGTGCGATCAGTACGTCACGGGCATGTCCGGTTTGTGCGATCATCGCAAGGTCGCGCATTCAAACAGATACAAGTGCGACAATTGCGGCGAGGAGTTTCGGTTGAAGGAACGATTGAAGAAACACGTGCTCTCGCACATGTACAAATTGCGCAGCAGTCCGTACACGTGTAAAACGTGCTCCATGACGTTCGACACACCGTGCCGTCTGGTGCTGCACACGAGGACTCACCAAACAATGAGAATTGAAAAGTTGGAGTGCGATATGTGCGGCAGTAAGTTCAGTCGCCGCGACTCTCTGCAGAAGCACAAAAGTTTCTATCATCACGGCGACTTCAAGTCTTTGGTGTGCGAGATCTGCAATAGAAGCTACAAGGGCCACTTGTCGCAGCACATGAGAACGCACGCGAGAGAACGTCCGTTCGGTTGTGGCGATTGCGGTCAACGATTCGCTCAGAAATCCCAGCTGACGGTTCACCAAAGGACCCATTCCGGTCAGCGACCGTTTCGTTGCGTGGTCTGTTGGCAGGCGTTCGCCCACTCGACCGCGCTGAAGCTGCACACCCGGCGCCACACCGGCGAACGGCCGTTCAAGTGCGCCGATTGCAACGCTGGCTTCACCCAACTACCGCACTGGAAGAAACACATGAAATGCGTGCACGGCAAGCAGAATCCGTACGGATGCAAGTACTGCGGGAGCTCGTTCAAGATGAGGTGCGAATACGACAGACACAGAAGCATCTGCGAGCTGAGAATGAAAGCGGAGGAGGACAACAGTGACGTCTCCGAGAAGTCGGCCGGCAGTTTTCAACACGAGATCATCGAGCGTTACTCGAACTTGAGATACAAAATGTCGATAGAGAAGATGCGATTGTTGCTGGCCGCGTTGCTGAAGAGGATCAGCAAGCAAGAACGATTGGACGAACTCGGTTTTGGCAAACGTCTCATCGACGACGTTCTTCATGATTCTCTCACGTCCTCGGGCAGAGAGCCGGTCACGAAGGACGACGGGCTGTCCGAGCTCGAGGCGCTTTCCCGTAACGTGGAGATCTTTTTGGAATGGACGGTGCCGAAAGAACACTGGAAAAAATTTCGCGAGATGAACAAATCGACCGTGGATATTCTGGAAGCGCTCACGTCTAACAACTAAAAACACAAAAGATACGTTCTCTTCTTTTTGACTCGAAATTTTATGACGTTGTGACAAAGAGATCAAATCAGATAGGTAATGGTATTTTATTTCGCACATAATTTTATAGACGAATGAAAAACGTTGTGTATCTCTTATCTATTACCTTCAATAACAAAACGCTAACCGACCTCTCGTCATAAGAACCCTCGAGCTATAAAACCGGTTTCATACAACGTTAACCGCTCTTAAGCTCATTGACGTGATTAAAACCGGATGAAACAATCGCTATGTAAACCGCCGATATCGGTGTTGCGCGTACTTCTCTCACATTCATGGGATTCTTCTTTATTACCGCGAGCTATAAAATACGTTGCACTGTGTTCTCTATTTTCATATTTAATTTGTATTAACTAACGAACTTAATTAATATATCGCGTGCCATGTTTCATCACACTTGCCATATAAACCGGAGAGTATTTAGAAATTGTATTAGTTCTCATTTTTTTTTTATTTCTAAGCGTATAAAAGGTGCGATAAGAATTTAAGAGAGTGAAAACTCATCGTCGAGGAGTTCGCGAAAGAGGACGTAATAAATCGACGGGAAAATATATCTATTTCGATTACACACTACGGACTGATTGAGCTATGTATATATTATATGTATATTCTCTTGCCATATCTATCAAAATTCGTATACGCATATACGAAATGCACAGTAGAATAATACGGTGATTATTTCGCACTCTTGTATCTTATTCTAATTCTTAGCAAAAAGTGACTGTTGTACAACCATATACCAAAAATCGAAGATGAGGCTATTACGAGTTACTTGCAATTAGTTCTTGCAATCGTTATTACATGTGTTATGTATGTTCTATATTTATAAGGGATTTACACACATTATATATATATATATATATGTATACACATTTACATAAGTCAAATTATTATATACATTATCGGTATATTCTCTGTTAAATGTGTTCACCGGTTCCCCTAACCAGGAATACCTGGAAAACTTTGATACGTTTTCTGCGGTGCGGCGTTCCCATTTTTTGCAGTTGATGCAATTATTCATTATTTATACACTTTAATCGGCCGCGGATGAGCAAACACGTCACTAGGCCGCGCCATTTGCTGTTATTTGAGATATGTAGCTTAGCTTAACTTAGATAGTAAGTAAAAAATGTGAGCAGACAATAATGAAAGAAGGTTGCAAGAATAGTATATTTGAACGAAAAAAAAAAAAAAAGATATATATTATATACATATTATATTATCCATATACACACACACAGACATATATATATATTTAAATAAAAAAAAATATATATATATATGTATATTGATATATATGTATATGTATAATTGTGATGATAATTGTGCAAGGGAGAGGAAAGCGCAAAAATAAATTTCTCACGTGTTGATTTTTAAAAAATCCAATTGTGCAATAATATACAAAATACAATTATCGGAATAATTTAAGTAACACTTTTTCTAAATGACGTTTTTATAGTGACGCAGAAAATCAAAAACTTGGTGTTCCTAGAATCGATTTAAAAAAATAAAAATAAAAAATAAAAAAAATAAATAAGCAAGTTCCTTTCCTCGACCTACCGTTAGGTTACTTCTCGATCGTGTGTGCGACAAAAAAGAATTGGTTAAAAGAAAAAAAAAAGTATGTAACACTCGGAGGTGCTATTTTGTGCGATGTAATTGTTTAATGTGATTCGTTGATTTTTGTTTTTAACGCGCACGAAGAACGCGATCAAAAGCGTGGTATTGGATCCAAAGACTATGTTACTTTTATTATACCAAATATGTATCATGTATTTCCCGCGACCTTTGATATGATTTTCAATGAGTTTACAGCGAGCATTGAGGAAAGAAGTAAGATTCGCTTCGCGCGTCTGTAAAACAGAACAAACACGAAAAGGAGGAAGAAGAAAGAGATAAAACGCGAGCGGCGTATATTTATTGTATGCGCGTGACGCGCCTCGATGTATTAACATGAGCTTGAATACGACATACGCATGCAATGACTTGATTGTTTTCAAATTTATTCGAAAGATCGAAATCGCTTCGACTCACACGGATGCAAATAAGGGTCAGAGTGCATTTTAAGTATAGTATCGAGGTTAAACGAGAATCGCGCCTGAGTAAAAGCGCGGCTTCTTCGTATTTGCTTTGAGTCTGGGCGCATTTTTCGATGATTTTATGTTACAGTGCCAAAAGGAATAAGAGAGCAGCGTTTGCGAGGATAATTGGCTCGGTGCATTCTGCCTCTCCTGCTCTGTTGTTGCAAGATTATCTTATTTCCTGTTTACTTAGAAATTGTATTACATAGTTCTCTTTTTTCTAATTTTTTTGTTTATATTCCGTGTTAGCGAAGACCAAATATTACGTATATGTATTTCTTTGGTGCCATATATATAAACACATTCATATTTGTATGAGAAGGATGACTTGAATAAATATATTTGTTTATTCGCTAATTTTGTTTTTCATTTATATTCTCGCCCGTAATTTCCATAAACATCACCGTAAGTTTTGTACACATCATTTCAGTTCCTTGTTTCAACAACAGACAGTTTGTTTCATTTTTTTGTAGTTTTTATTGTTTAAATTTAAATAAGATACAGCACAGCCACAGCGTTTCTATGATATCGCACACAGAGAGCGCTCAGCACTAACTTTAGTCGCTCTTTTAGAGTAATATAAAAAGAATAAAATATTTTTATAGATTACCCATATTTTTTCACTACATGTTAGTCAATGTATACCACATGGCACAAATGTAGAAAGTGAATATATATGTATATATATATATAATATATATATATATATATATTATAATAATAAATTTTATATATAATATATATGTATATATTACAATATATATATTATATATTATACGTAGAATGAAAATTTTTTAGGCCCATACAATATGTCACACTTACCACTATGTTTGTAATATTACTGAAATTGCGATTTAACTTAGTCATTTCTGAGATAACTTTGTCATGTTTCTCGAGATTCATGCAATATTGTTTAATACATACTTGAAGTAATCTAACGCAGCCAAGAAAACATGAACTGTTGTCTCATGTCTACGTGCAAGTCAGTGATGATCAAACTCTGAAATAATTTTTGAGCGATATCTCAACACTTTAAGTCATTTTTTCCCGTAATTTAAAAAAAAACTTTCTGTAAAACTTACCGATGTGAAAGCGTTGTAACTAAATTCTATCTCACTGCCATTTAGGAAGAGTTTCGTGATTTCTTTTAATCCCAACATTTCGACTTTTCCGAGAATTACTTTTTCGTTAAAAGAACTATTGTCCATTTTCAAGCTCAGTAATTCAGATTTGATAACGGTAAACCGCAACCACAAATATTCTCCCTTTTCTATAGAGTCTTTTGGAAAAAGAAATTTAATTAAAGGAAGATCTCGTAAAAAATATATCTCGGTAATTTTGTGCGCAGTGTAATAAAATATTTCTTTACCTATACTGTCACCATCATCCCAATATAATTCTCCATTGGCATTTTCGTTTTCATCCAACGCTATTAGTAATTCAAAATTATTCTTTCTACTTTCCGTTGTAGTTACACCCGGTGTCTGTGCCGGAAGTATTGAGCCTCCGCGAATCAACAGTGGTATTGTGTCGATCGGTGCAGGTAAAATATAATATTCTCCAAGCGAGAAGAACGATTGAACGGTATAATAATCGTACCACAAACCATGTGGTACGTAAACAACCACGTCAGTTTTGTTCTGTGAAAGATCAATTCCCCCTTTAGTAATTAGCAAAATATCCAAACGTCTCGTATCATGTGGAAAATAAAATATTTTCAGCAACGTACTTCTTCGAGAACTGGATTGATCATGAGTGATCTTCCCCAAAGAAACTGTTGATCGATGTCGTAAGTAAACCGGTCATCGTAAAACCTGTATGTAATATATTTGTTATGTGTTATTTTCAATATAAATGTGATATGTGATATATATAAACGATTAAAATGACTTACTCAAAAAATAACGGACGCGCCACTGTTTCGCCAAATTTGTGCGCTCTAAAGAACAAAGTATACAAGTAGGGTAAGAACCGGTAACGTATTTTGAGAGCATTCTTAGAAGATCGCACAACCAAATTGCCCATTGCAACTGGATCCTGCTCCTGTGACACAATTGTTACGTTTTATATTTGATCGATGTTTCATCACAATCGATATTATCTGTGTACTTACGATTGTATCGTCAGAATTGTGATTACGAGAAAACGGATAGAACGCGCCAAGTTGCATCCAGCGATTACACAACGCGACAGTTGTGTTCCCGTTAAAACCGCAAATGTCAGCGCCCACCATTGGGATTTGATAGAAATTGAGCGACAAAATAGCTGGAATGCTCATCTTTAAATCGTGCCTGTTTAAACATTTGTTTTTAATTAGTAAATAAAAAGAGCGCGCGTCGATATATATACATAATTGGGACATCTATCGTAATTACCACAACGAGTAAACATCGCCTGTCCAATGACCCGCGTAGTGACCGTGTCCTACCCACGTGGAACGTGATATTATAAATGGTCTTTTTTGTCTAATTTTTCTGAGAGCGCTGCACAAAGAAAGTTTTAGAAATTCTCATAAACTAACTCTCTTCTCCTCTCTATTTACGCAAAGGAACAGTATTTCTACTTACTAATTCGTAGCAATTGCTTGACTCGTCCCATAAGTATTGTGAAAATCGTAATGAGAGCCCAAGTAATGTTTTGCATTCATACACAGAGTCTTCGTCGCGAGCAAATCGCCGACGACATTGGGCACGTATTCGGGATAATCTAGTTGATTGTACATACAGCCGTTCTTATAGCCGTTGTAGAAGTTGGACGGTTCATTCATATCCTTAATGCAATCAATAATTTGCGTGAGGTGACAATCTTGGTTACTTCAATATAAAAAACTGTTTTAAAAACGATCGAACAACTTACAATCCATGCGCCGTCAAACGCAAAATTATCATGCATATTGCCCATCATTTGCGCATAATAATCCGTCGTTTTAGGATTCGTGAAATCGGGCCATACTGTGGAAACAAAATTCCAAACTTTGCCGACGAAAGGTTTGCGCGTGACACCGTCTTTTACAAATATGTCTTGCTTTATTCCCTCGTCGTACGGTAAATAAGTGCCGTCGTTCTCAGAAGCGGATATACCAGCGTCGATTAACGGGATGTAGTGCATTCCCACCTGTAGTAGAAAAACATATCGTGACATATATTTGACTCGCGAATTGCGCAATATTCTTTTACATATATACCGAGTGAATTTCTTCTATAAACTTTGGCAAATCTCTGAAGGTCTTCTTATTATATGTGAAGTCATTGTTTTTGTCCATATAATCCAAATCGTTCCATTGAGTATCCTGTCAAAATATATAACGTGTAATATTTAAAGTTACATTATATCGACTGTGAGAAGAGAGAGAAATGTGTTTTGCAAACAATATAAAAAAGTGGCAGACGTACAAATGGAATTCCAGCTGCTCTCGTTCTGTTCCACACTGCTCGGGTTCCTTCCAAACTTCTATATCCGAATCTAATACATATACGGCGTTATTTCGGTACAAGATGTTACTTTACAGTGAAAATATAATACCTGCATAAATGAAAACCGAGCGACCAATAGGGTGGCATAAATGGTTTGCCCACGATTTCAGAATATTGTTTCACAACGTCCGCTGGAGTTGGTCCCAGAAAGAAATAAATGTCGAAAATGCCACCGATTGTTCGAAATGTTACAGCCGGTGTAGGTTGCAATATTACATCTAAAAGATGAGAGAAATATTTGAATTTTCTCGAATGAGACAATATTACACCGTGGACGAGCACATAAAAATTAAAAAAAAAAAGTATATACCTAAGTTCTGCATAATTTTTTATATGTTAATAAAAAATCTTCAAACAATCGATTTTTTTTTTTTAAACTCGTTAACTTAGTCCTTTTAAGCAGAAAAACGTACCCATAGCATTGCTATTCAAGAATAAAACACCATGTGCCATTCCAGACTTCTCGATGACAATATAAAACGGATGAGATCCATACAAATTCGCCTAATCAATAAAATCAATTAAAATATTGCTTCCTCTGTTTTATAAACAACGTATATAAATATATTTCAGTTTTATAGATACGATCGATAATAATATTAAATAAAACGTACATTTTCTATTGGCGGTTGATCTTTATTGAATAAAGTAAATGATTGCCACTTTGTATTCAATTTCAAACTTGATTGATGCTCGCCGATGCCGTAAATATTATTCGTTGGTATCAACGTGCTGATTTGTAAAAACTGATCAGCAAATATAAAACCTCCAATTCCGATAGAATTAAACCTACGTACGGAACATATTGCAGCAACTTATGTCATAATGCATACATAGTTTGAGATGTTCAAGTATTATACGATTTAAGCAATTTCTTGTTACTTTTTTCTCAGTTGAATATAAAATCATATATACTTACAATGTAGTGTCATCGTAAACTCTATCAACTTTAAAACCGGAACTCGCATAAGTGCTGGTAAACTTATATTGCAAGTTTGTCTGGGATGAGATTGAATCAGGCTTTGGATCTGGTCTGATGGGCCAAGGTGGTTCGTATCGCGCTTTTAAGGGATCGTATATCTAAAACAAGTGTACCATAAAATATTTTCTTATTTTCACATATATTGCAATATTGTCTAAAATGACTATATTGCAAAAAATAGTTTTGCATGTCACACCTTTACACGCAAAATTGAATTGTTTATGCCTGTAGCCTCCATCTTTACGAGAGGTATGTCGTTTTTATATGCAGACGTTTTCTTCTGTTTGAGATAGCCGGAGAAATTGCTACCATCTTGAGTATAGTTAATATATGTATATAAGTCCCATTGTTTTGGATAATAACAATAAGGGACATTTAATGGTACACGATTTGTAGCGTCAATGTTTTTGCCAGGAGGATTCCAACAGCAATTTCTTTGCGTGCAGGAGAGTTGAGACGCTCCATTTTCTGGATGGCAATCAAAGCGCAATATTTCAGGAACATTGGTGCACTATTTCAACAAAATAAAAAACACAAAATACAAGAAACACAATTCACTTGCATGTTTCGATCTAAAAGAATTTGTATTTTTCACTTACGTGAGCATCTTTGAGAGTTGTTTCTGCTTCAGATGAAGTATCTTCTTCCTTTAAATGTTCTATCTCATAATCGTACTCTTGCTGGTCAATGTACGTATCAAAACTAGACGTTTCTAAGTCTTCATATCTTATGTTTTCAATAGTATCATTATTATTTATGTTAATCAAAGAATCTGTTTCTATCTTTTTGTCTTCTATAATTGTATGATGACAAGGTTTGTTATGATTGAATCCAAAATAATAAACAACAGAAGGATTTCCTTCACATGACGGGACACCAAAATTTTTATACAGCAACATACAAACGATATTGTAAATCAAAGCGAGATATAAAAAAAAACACAGTATTATTACAGGATGGCCTAGCTTTATGTTTCTTTTTTCATGATTTGTTTTTACTACTGGCTCATCAGTTTTATCATGTATTCTTGTGTGCTCTTCATCCGTTTCTACCTCAGTATTATTTAAAGAATTTTCAACCGATATAGTGTGCTGCTCCGGTTTTTTGTATCCACTTGTTGCTGCTATACCAACCATGTTTTTTTTTTACATTAAACGTCTCACTAAAAGAAATCTATTTAGTTTGTCACTGAAAATAATTAAGATATTTTTATACAAAAATCCATTTTCCACACAATAATTATATCGTATATTTACACTATAAAATTTACAGAACATGCAAAAGTGTGAAACCCAACCTTTAAGTAGAATATGAATACAGACAGCTCTTTGTCTTTATTCCTAAACACCACACAAGTAATATTCCATCATTTGCAACGTTATCACTGTGCGTACATTTTATTGTTAATCAGACAGAAGACAAGGAAAAACTATATATAGATGTCCACACAATAGTGTAATACGCGTTTAAACTGATCCAAGCGCAAATTTCTTTATCAGTACCACGAACCACAGCTTACAATGGAATACGCATGCGCGAGATACAAATTTCCTCTAGTAACGCTATATATAACTCGATAATTTTATTACGCACTCATTATCGCACGTTTCGCGAGTTTAAGTTTATCATATATTTATCATGGTTTTCGTTTCTCCCGGTATGATAAACAGGAAATGTGTCTCAAATAATACTCGGTATACAAGATAAAAGAAATCGGAAAATCATGTGTAATGTTGAAGAGAATTTTTATATTTTAATTTAATTTTTTATCTGTAATATAAAATTTTGTACATGGAAAAATTTTATACAAAACAAAAAAGATGACAGGGAATCTGCATGAAAAATTATCGGGAGTTTTCTTCTTCCTCACACTTTTGAACAATACCTGAAAATCATATGTCTTATGTAACTTTGCACGAACTTTTAAAAATTAACAAGAATATAAATTTTTTGGCAAAATATGTTAAGTCTTACGTTCGCAGATTTTGTTTACCGCGCCAACAGTTGGCGAATCTGGTATCTCTGTCAGAAAATTTTTACCCTCGTCGCAACATCTGGCTAACAAGGGATCCAGAGGTATCGATCCTAAGAATTCCAGGTTTAATTCGCTCGACATTGACTGTGCACCACCTGTGGAAGCTGGGAAGATTTCTGCGATATTCTGCATAACAAACACGGTTTTGTTTTTGTTATTAATTATTCGTTACTTGTATCCTGTTCTTTGGAACATCATTCAATTTTTATCTTCACCTTGCATTTAGGACACACGAAAATACTCATGTTCTCGACCACGCCTAAGATCGGAATGTTCACTTTTTTACAGAAGTCTATTTCCTTTCGAACGTCTAAAAGGGCAATTTGCGGCGGTGTTGTGACAATTACGGCACCCGTAATACCTGCACCCTTGAGATACGCCGTAGCCGATAGGTGTTCATCTGATGTGCCAGGTGGTGTATCTAATATGAGATAGTCCAAGTTTCCCCAGTCAACGTCAGATAGGAATTGCCTGATCATACCTAAACACATATAATAGGAAGAAAATGAACATAATACGGACAAACAAAAATAAGATCTTGAATGTGAAGACAAAATACCATTCTTCTTCGGTCCCCTCCATATGACCGCATCACTCGGACTGCTGAGAAACCCAATTGACATCAATGACAGATTATCTTCAATATACTGGAGCAAAAAAAAATAATATGCAACGTTATGTCACAGTTTTAATAATTTTTATTTTAATATTTTGTTCTAACGAAAAAGCACTCACTACAGGCGACCATCCTGAGCCACTCTGATAAACCTGTTCGCCAAGTGCTCCGAGTACTCTCGGCTGTGATGGTCCACAAATGTCAATGTCTAACACTCCAATCTGCATAAGACATAAATAAAAGAGAGATTCAAATAAATTTTAATAGCACGAAATATCGAAATTTTAATAGATTTAAAAAATATTAAAAAATTTCACATATGTAACAAAATTATTTTAATTTTTTTTTTCGATTATATTTTCGTGGCTAGTATGTTAATGTGAATATACTATTATATTTTGCTATTATAATCTTGATTTAAGATATTCAAAGGGAATGAGGACATCAAAAGGTTGGTGATCAATAAAGGACTGGCACAGAATGATACCGTGTGTATAGCTATCTGCTTAACTATAGATATTTCTTGTCTGAGGTTATTTTCTGCAAACTAGCTCGTGCTATTCACTATGTCAACATGTACATTGAAAATCATATGGATGTGCTTGGAATGGGTAGAAGGGTAAGTTGTTCTAATTTTCAGTTTCATCATGTAATTACTATGCTATCTGCACAACTGTAAATTATATATCAGATAATTAAAGTAGCTGAAGTAAATAGATTACACACACACACACACACAGGAGAGAGATAGAAAACTTTCTCTATACTTCTCCTTTTAAACTACTTTTTTTAAAGCATTTTGATTTGAATTGCATGTAATTAATTATATTTACATTTCTGTCAGGATTATTTGCCGCAAGGCACCTAGACACCAAAGATGTCACAGTACTTTTGCCCACTCCTCCCTTGCCTGAAAGCACTAGTATCTTATTCCGCACTGAAGCAAGCCTTTGTTTTACAAGCTCTATATAAGGATCGGGCTGCTTGGTTGCTCCAGATGAACATAGTGATTGATTTGGGCATCCTGCGCACGCTGAAGCTTTGCCGGCATTTTCACTTTGAGTCCCAGGACAGTCTAAAATTGATATTTCATAAATTTCTTGCTATTTTTTTATGTACATAATAAATATATAAATGTAAAAATGGCTTGGTGTGTCAAAAATTATTTATATGACAGCACAAAATTTTATTGCTGTACGTGTCTTAAACTAACCTTAAGTTTTCTTTGACAAGTGACACGTTATAGACTACTGATGTCATGTAATAAATATTTCTATGATCATATCGTACTACTTTTAATAAATAAAGCAAAATAAAGCTATTTAGCTAGTGAACTTTAATTTTAAGACTAAACAAAATAAGATTGCATATATTTACGTTCAGGAGCATCACTAGGTATTACATCTGCCATGTTGATAACGTACACACACAGTCGAACCTTTGTACAAATAACCTCTGTTAAATGTACCACGTAACTTTTGTTATAATAAATTTCCTACACACATCACGCTGACATCCCACTACGTGCGGTCAGTATACGCATGCGCATGTGAAAACAGCTTTGTATGAATGACGAGTACCTATGTTGCCAAAAAATTGAGAAAATAAAGAAAAAAAGTAATTAAATTTTACTTTAATTTTTAAATTCTTATATAAAACATAAAAAAAAAGCACAAACGAAACAAATGTAAATCTCAATATAATTTTAAATTTATAGCAATTGCAACCATGGAGCACGGTTGGAAGTTCAATGCCCTACACGGAACCAGTAATTCCAATTCGAATCGGCGATTATACCAAGACACATAACTTACTACCCTGGAGACCAAATATTGGATTTGAAAATACAGAAGTTATTCCCTTGTAAAAAACAGACATCAAATTACTTTTATAATATTTTTAGATATAATTTTGCTTTCAATCAAGTCCCAAGACAGTCGCGAATGTATATATATCATGCGTGGTTTAGGAGGAATCCTCGAAGAGATTTACACCATAATATATATTTTACAGAGCAACAAAATCGATATCGAGTCACGCACTGGATGCGGACAAAATGAGTACACGACCGTTAAAATTTCCGAATTTAATAACGGGCTATCAACGTAATCCCGTTCACGCTTCGCAAGCCGCCCTTTACACGAGATACACACCACAGGAGTGGTTTCAGAAGCAAGTGAAGTATTACAATGAGGCAGATTCGCAGAGACATTACTCCGAGAGGATGCGGGGTGACGCTTTGAGAATTATGAGGTACCCACATACATAACTAGCTTCTTCCGAATATTTTTATTTCGAAGTGCGGAACTAAACACCGTTTTTTCGGTGTGAATTCAAAATTTATAAATGTTTCAGAAACGCCGAGGAGAAGATACAACACGGTCAGTACGATACCAGTCGAAGACTCGGCGAGAGAATAAACGACGTTACATTTTGGCGCAACGAAGTGATAGCAGAACTTGAGAGAATGATTCACGAAATCGAGAGACTTCAAGATTGCCGAAGTGTTTTGGAAAAGGCGATACGAGATATCGAAGGACCTTTGCACATCGCAGAGGAATGTCTCTATCACAGAGAAGCCAGAAAAAGTACGAAACAACATCCGTTGTAAACGTGATTTAATTTTATAATTTCATTTTTGTTTTGTTGTGTCTCAGGCACGGAACTGGTGCACGATGACTCGGAAAAATGTCTGCTACGAGAAGTGGAGAACTTACGGACAAACCAAAAGAGACTGGAAGCCTGTTTGGACAAGTGCAAGGATCAAGTAAATCTCTCTCTCTCGTCTTGTATAAATATTTTTGCTGTACATTAAAACAATTAGCATAATTTGTTTACAGTTAATTTGTTTGTAGTTGCGAAACTGCAGAGCTTCGCAGAATCAACTCGAGTTGGATTTGAAAAACAAAGAGAGCGCCCTAGGCATAGACACTATTTGCCACCAGTTGAATAATTACAGTCAAGGATTGCAATATTATTCGGGAATTGAAAAATATGATCCGTGGTATTTAATTAAACGCATATTCACAAATGATCTTTGTACAATATTATATTGAGAATTCTAATCTCGTCCCTTCGTTCAGCGTTTCGGAGCAAGAAACTTGGGCGGATGCGGTGAACAGGATAGTACAAAGATCCCAAAACGAGCGGAATAGATCATGCCAATTCCGAACCAGTGCCGAGAGTCTCATCAATAAAATTGCTCACGAAATGTGGAACTCTTGGAGCAACACCAACAACGCCTTAGCGCAACGATCTTCCGAGTTGCTCGAGGCTAAGAACAAGCTTCAGCAACATTTGCAGAAGGTATGAAAATCAACGCACGTACTTTCAGATAAAATGCGTAACTGTGAAAAATGTCTCGCAGGTGCAAAAAGAAATATTTGACGTTGAAAAGAATTTGGACTTGATGCGCAAAGCTATCGCGGACAAAAGTCACGCGACCAGAGTTGCGCATACAAGGATGGAGGCGAGAATGCATCGTCCTGACATAGAACTGTGTCGAGATTATGCGTACGCTAGGTACGTGTTTTGAAAGATAAGACAAAAGTATGAGATGTTTTAAAAAACTATTTTCTTTTTGTTTTAGTCTTCAGAAAGAGATTGACGAAATAAATCATCAGCTCGAACGAATGCACAAGGCGCTGAAGGAACTCGAGAATCAACATCAGAAGTTGCTCAGAACTCGAACCATGTTGGAACACGATCTCGCGCTTAAAATCGACGCAATATACATCGACAAGGAAAAAGTGTGCGGTCTCAGACGCGCCTATCCTGTTAACGCGTTATTTAGATTTTAAAAAGACATGTACTCTCGGTGTCTTGCATGTTCTTTCTATGCAACCGCACACTGCCATTTGTTTATTACAAGAATGTTTTTATCTAAAATGAATACACTCCTAAAGAAATTTAGGCTATGTGGTATTCTCCCCTTTCTCAAGCAGAGAATTTGAAAAAGACATAATTTACTTCTTTGTACAATTAACATAATATATACACAATATAATACAATATATTAAAGTTAGAAACAATTTACTTCGTTGAGTGAGTTTTGACGTAAGTGGGAACAGGCAGATTAAGTCCCGGTTTGGCCTCAAAAAATGTATAAGACAAAACTATTTCGTCAACAAATTCCATGCGTGGATCTTCTGCGAATTCCGGATCAATATAAAAGAACACTGGCATGTCAATCTTGAAAAAAAAACAAAAGCAAAATATAATTCTTGATTCAGATTATACAAAACATTATTAATTGTCACATTACTTCTTGTTGTGATGTATAATAAACTTACTTGTTCATGAGGATTGAGCATCTGTTCCTCAAAACAGAAACATTGTATTTTATTGAAATATTGTCCTACTTCGAAAGGTACAACATTGTAAGTGGATATTCCTACGACTTGATCGTTAGTTGGATTTGTGGCTGTGTAAAATGCTAAAGCTGTCTCTCCAGGAACAACCGTGAGCTCCGATTGCTGTGGCTTGAAATTCCATTGCATTGATGCTGCGGTGTCTGCATTGAATTTCACTTTGATTGTTTTGTTTTTAACAGGCGTCATTGTGGTCACTTTGCTGGCATCGTGACCAGCTGATACTGTTCCACCATAACTGTACGACTACATGACAAAAAATATAGATATGCATTTTATAAATATGGCAGCAACTCTAATTAAATTTAATACAAATAAATATATAATTAAGAACATCTTCAAATAAATTGAAATTGTTACCTGACAGAATATTCTGTACAAAGGCACCGCAGAATAACTCAATCCGACTACCAGTATCCCAACTCCTGCCCAGTAGAAGGCGGTGGAACGTAATCTCTTTCGAAGCGACGTGTCCACATGATTTTTCATCAAATTTTTTGACACGCTAGTATATATCTGTCTAATATTAGTGCGTGACATTTGCCGGCAGATGTTGAGATACATCTTTTTAGATTTCTTTCTCTTATTATTTGTCACAATTCAAGGACTTCTAACCTAACCTAACCTAAATCCACCCGGCAAATAGGTTTACGTCTCGTATTTAAAAGTAAATACTTGAAAACATGATGATATTAAGCAACAAATAAGAGCAAATCTTAAGTGAGGCGTGCGTAAATCAAGATAATATTACAAAGTTTCAGTAAAATAACAAGTGTCACTGATCACATCGAAGGTTTATCGTACCGCATTAGGTGTTTATACTTTACGTAACATACATTATAGATATTCTGTACGTAGCACATCAAGGTTGGCAACGATATATCGAAATACGAGTTTCGATTTTCAACTCGCACTTCGATATATCGAATTTCGATATATCGCACTTCGATATATCGCACTTCGATATATCGCATTTCGATATATCGCATTTCGATATATCGCATTTCGATATATCATCCCAGGTCGTGAATTGCTGCTCTAAAGTTCTTGGAATTAGTCGATTACATTTGGCGGACAAAGATGGCGGACGCGCGACAGACGAAGCAGGTGCGTGCGTTCGAATAGTTTCGCACTTCTTGTGAATATTTTCTCGCGCGCAAATATACGTCATATTCGTTCGTCGCAAAGTATCGAACGCTCGCGTTGACGCGTAATTAGCATCGCGCATTCGCTGATATTGATGAGTTTACCACGCGCGCGATTACACATCAGAAATACGTTTGACTTGTCTCGTAATTTGTCGCGATTTCTAATCGTCTCGAATACACGAATATCGTAATCGGATGTTCGGAATATATACGTGACTGTGTAAAAAGGGAAAGACAATAACAAATAGCATTAGATTCCCGGATAATCGTGCGACATTTGCCACGAAGAAAAATGGTGAGTAATTTATGAGTACGTCTCTCTAGATCGCATAACTTGCTTTTATTACTACACTACTACTATATGTATAAAGCATTTAACAATTACATATACAATCGTTTTGTTTATAGATCGAATGTATTCCTACGTACGAGTGTGATGTGAAGTACCGCGAGCTGCTACGCGCGTCGATTCGATACTTCGAGAATTGCAATATCGCGCGCGCTTCGACACGTTATCAAATTATCAGGTATTTCCAGCAATTGTTGTTGTTTCGTAAATATACGTAAATATCGATAATTGTGTTCGTGCCACAATAGACAGGTGGAAGTGGGAGTGGGAATTACTTCTTTGAAATAGCTAAGGAAACTTCCTACACATAGGAAGAGATACTGAAAACTCTAGGGAGAATTAGGACGTTTTTAATTTTTTACGTTTCTAATTTATATTTATTATAAATTGTGTTACACACATATATATATATATATATATGTTTATTGAATATCTCACTTCTGTTGAAAAACTATAATACTTGAAATCCAAACGTAAAGACTAGAGCGTATGTTTGGCACGATTAAGAGGTATTTGCAATCTTTTTCAACGTTCCCGTTAACATTCTACTTTCTGTATTGATCACTATGATTATTAAAATCCAAAATCCACATATTTTTTTTTTTCAGTTCTTCTACATGTTTATACGTAAACAAAATAAAACAAGCTACCTTTTCCACAATATATAACAACAATTTTATATGTTTTGGATATTAACAAAGGTGGACAATCAAAAACAACTTAAAGTGTATTCCGAGACGTTTCGATCAAATTTTATTGGCGATCATCTTCAGCACTGAATACAAAATAAAAAAATATAATAGAATAAAAAAACTCCTTCGTTAAACAAAAAGATACATACATTTTGGATTTTAATTTTCCAATCAACTTTCTCGCACACAAAGTATTCGATTACCAAAAAATTTCAGACGGATTTTATTACGGCCGTTTGTTTGTTTGGTTTTTTCTTTTTTTATATGTACACTCAGTTTATATTATCACTTAAGTACTCAGATTTACGATTTGCGCCATCTATGTACAGCCTCGTTACATATTGTGTCGTATATTTAAAATTAGGAGACGTACAATATTTTTTTTTGTTTTTGTTTTATATACGCGCGACGGACATTTACATCCGTACGGATAAAACGCAAGCACCTTATTATTCGCATAAAACGCCTCGCCGTTTTTTTTTTTTTTTTTCATCGCTAATTGTTTTTGGCACAAGTTCGACAACCACACACACACATACATACACACACACACACATCATCATCATCATGAACATCAAAAAAATACGGTAATCTCAAAGCTATTCTTTACTTATAATTCTATTAAATACGTACTGCCTTGTTTTTTTTTCGCGGAAAAAATGTACTTCTGATGCTACACAGACTAAAAGTAGTTAATCTATCGTTAATCTCTCTTTTCAGCCTCAAGTATATATACGCTTAAGTACACGTGAATTATTTTTAGTAGCGTTTTTCTATTTGCAATGTTGGTGTTTGTAATTGATGTTTCACTCGTCTACTTTCCGCGCGGTTATTAGATTTGTAACCGCGGGTTTTAACATTTTTCTAGCAAAGTCTCGAGAATCTGTTTCTTTGAACGTGTCGATTTATACACACAATTCGAGATCGAACGTTGAATTCTTTTCATCTCGACGGCGTCTTTCGTCGAATAATTCACAAGTTTTGATCGTAAGAAACATCGCTAACATTGCAAAATACCGATTACACAACTTATTCCGAATTATCGCTAAATGTTCCTATTCTACTTGCTCGTATACAAATAGGAAACTACAGGTAACAAAATTGCATCACATGTGTGTGTAAAAAGTTTCGTAAACAAGCTTTCTAAAACTCACATCTGTTCTGTTACATCATTAGGATACAAACTTGCAGCGCGAGAAAGATAAAATATATTGGATCTCTCAGGACTTAGAAAATAGTCGAAGGATCACAGATCACTACTCTTCCCTTTACAATAATAATGACGAATAAATTATTTAGCAAATACTACGCGTGTGACACACATACGAATAAGAAGTGAGAAATGTCAAGTTTCGATGCGGTCGTTTTTTTTTTTTTTTTAATTGACGAGAAAAGGGCGACGTTTCAGTTACGCGAATCGTAGCCGCCGAAGCGATGAATCCTCTCGTGATCCCGCAGATGGTGACGATGCTTGAATCGCCTGTTGCACTTCGAACACTGAAATCTAGGCCCGACGCCGCACTCGAGGCGCAGGTGTCTCATCAGGTTGCACTTGTGCGAGTAACCGCGGCCGCACTTCAAACAAAGAAACGGCGTTTTGTCCACGATGCTCTTCATTTGCTTCCAGACTGTAACTAAAAGTAATATAGTGAGATATTTTTTTTTCTTTTCTTTTTTTCTCTCTTTCTCTCTCTCTCTCTCTCTCTCTTTCTTTCTCTCTATTTTCGTCTATTCTATGCTCTCGCAGGCAAAACGTGAACAAAAGTGTAGAGAAGCGTTTTAAGCGGCCAAATTGACGTAAATGAAAATACCAGATGTGTATTTGTTGCACAGAATAAATCATGCCGCAAGGTCAGATTGACCGCGCGCGATCATCGCATAGAAATTTCTCGCTTCAACAACAAGTATAATAGAATTTGCACACGATCTCTTACTTTCGTTGATTCTCTCTAAACTGCATGCATTTGTGAAGCGGACGTCTCTTTTCAACGCGAATTGCATCCTCGACGAGTTGCATCGCGAACGATTAAATTACATGTAATATAATTTCACACCAAAGTTTCTGCCAGACACAACTGTGACATCTGCATCAGATTTTAGATCAGGAACGGACGAAATTGAGCGAATAAAACTTGTTTTCGTTTTGTTTGAAATGTGCGATATTACATTTTACACGTGTAATAGTTTTTTTTTTTTTTATTGAAAATGTTAATTAGTATTTTTTACAAAAACCATGTGTATCTCGATGTGTATCTGTTACACGGTTTGGCACGTGTAATCAAAAATAAAAAAAAAACGTGTAATCTGAATATTTTTAAGTTTTTCTTTGCTTAATATTCATCACGAGCTAATTTTGTCCGATCCTAATTTAAAACATTTGTCACTTAAGAGAATGTGCATGCAATTTAACACAGTTGCCTACGATTCAGTTTCGCACACAAAAAAAAAAAAACAGGTATAGATAATAAAAATTTTATTAAGAAAAAACTCTGTGATATCACAATATTGATTGAAAAATAACGACTTCAAAATTGTTCGACAAAACGTTATTCGTTAATTTGTAATACATTTTGTACTTGTCTGTCGAATTAACGGCGTAATCCATTACAGGAAGCTAATGTAGGGAGTAAAGGTGAAAAAAAAAAACATGTTAATTAACAAACTTCTGCGAATTATAAAATAAACATATATTTGTTTCTACCGCAAGTAGTACAATATATATGTAGAGATATACATATATATGTATATATAAATACATATATATATATATATATATATGTGTGATTTCGCATTAATTAAATTTTCATATATAAATTTCAAGTCTTGAAATACACATCCAATCTTTACATGTCGCACACGACGTGTAAAGATTTGGCTAGAGAATTGAATATCAATGAACTTTCTTCCTGTATAAATATATTTCTATAAATTTATAGACTATATCTCTCTATAGAATATATCTCTTTGTGTGTTGAATACGTAACATATACATATAACATATTACCATATTCGTTTCTCTATTGGCACTATTATTTTATTTGATACTTAAACTGCGTTCAAGAAGGATCCGGTGCTAATCTAATCGAAATTATTTTTATTCGTAAAGTTTTACCTCTTAACTTATTATATCCCTTCGTTGATCACAGTTTATCTCATTGATTATAAAGAACTAAAAAATTGCACTCTTTTCAAATACTGCTCAAATTTACATTGTAGATAAGAAATCACACACGGGCGCTCGCTCAACGATACACAAGCCTGTATCTATCTCACAAACATCTTCTATATGGGATCAAAGTTATTTACAATATATTAAAAAAAAAACTTTATTTACAACATTGTTTTGCTTTCTTTCTCTTTCTCCTTCTTTTTCTAACAATTGTTGTGTTAAACTTACTGCTACGTTTAATGACAAAACTCTGTTTCGACTTTCAAAATAATATATTCAGGCCGCTATTTAGATACTTTGTATAAATTAATTCTCTCGAGTAGAAAAATACTAGTGGCAGTAAATCAGTCTATAAATATAAAATCTGATATATGTGCAACTCAAAAAATATACAATCTACTCGGAGAATTAATGCGTTTAATGCGCAACATGATTCTTGATTTCTTTATATGTGCGGTTCGATGTACATACATAACTTACAATGTAGAAGTTAAACATACAATAGAAAAATTTGAACACTTGTTTACAATCAAAACCCGTTGAGTCTTATGTGTATGCGAAACAAATTTCTAAGTATATTAAAAATTTAAGTAGATATTGTGACTGCGCTCGCAAAATTACAAATACTCTTCGATTGATACAAATATAAGACAAAATAGAGCAAATAATAAAAAAAACTCTTTCTGTTATATACTTTAAGTACTTACATAGTATTCTTTGGAAACTTTGTATAGTAAAATGATTCTTCACATTCAACTTAACAGATATTTTGTATATATAAACTATTTAATTTTACACACGATTAAGTACTTCGCTCGAGAATTTTTCTCTCAGAACGTATTCTCACTCACGCGATTCTTTGACGTAATTCGTATTGTTCTACGAAAATTTAACTAAACTTTTCAGTCTCCATGAAATCTCGAAATCGTATCATCAGGTATGAAACTTGCGAAAAACTGAGAGTGAACGCATTTTCTTCAAGCAACTCTCACCGACATTGAGAAGTCTCAGAGTTTCTGATGAGTTCTCATGTGTAACACCAGATTGTGTTTGTGTTTTGACTTCTTGTGACAGATCGGACACTCGAATTGCGGTTCCACGCCGCACTCGAATTTTATGTGTCTGTTGAGCGAGTGCGGTCTCGTGTAAACGTTGCCGCACCGTGAACACGAATATTCACGACTGACCGCGGTTACCTGATTGCTGTTGACTTCCGTCAGCGGTTGACAGTTTTGGATTTTCTCAGCGACGACAAAACCGCTTGCCGGTTCTTCGATCGTCGGTGTTGTTCCCGTTTCCTTCTCCTGGAACTGGTTCTCCGCCATCAGTCGGAGATACATCGTCTGGTACTGGTAGTACCAATCGATGGCACTACCTGGCGAGTACTTCCGTTCTAGAAAACACATAAGAAAGTCAGTAAGATTTCGCGCAGAAACCGATCGCGTCCTTTCCTTTTTGCCTTAGGGTAATTGACGATCACGGTTAGCCTAGAAAGAATTGTTATCAATCAAGACAAAGACACGGACGTACACACTGCACGAGTCGAACTACACGTAGCCATTCACCATGTAAGCAACTGTCAACAAATGGACTATTAGTGTAGTTTTTCCTTGAGCTGCGGGATGTCTTGTTTGAAGGGAAGGAAAGGATTGTTAAAAAGTAGTACCTGTTTCTTGGTTTTCTTTTCTCTTGTCACAGAACAAACGCATGTGTAGTCTAGATATATTAACAAAACTCACATGTATCGCAGAAAACAAATTATACATATTTTTATTTCTTTACGCGGAGTATCTTTAAATACTATATAGTTTAGAAAATGGAAAAAATTGTTAATCCATTGCAGAAAAAGCCTTGCGTATTAAGTATAGGATTGAAGGACGTGTAAGGAAAAAGCAAAAAATCTTGTTCTTTTAAATATCATATGTTCTATATATTTCTTACAACCGTTTGTTTTATTAATTCCATTGATATAATTCAAAATAACTATCAAAACAATTTACTGTGTTATTAACAATATCCAAAGGCACACGTTAACATATTCTTTGTAAGGTTTTTTTTTAGATTGAATCTAATTTAAATGTAATTCATATTTACATAAAACAATTTTTTAAACATAATTTTATGTAGTTTTATACGAATATATATACTTCGTAATATAATAATATGGTAAAAAAAGATAGTAGAAAACTAACGACCGGTTACACCGGTTAAGTCAGATCTAATATAAGTAAAAAAAAATAAATAATTTAACAATTCTTTATAATTATTAATAAAAAATAAAATTTTTTCTCTCTCTCTCTCTCAACGTTAATGGAATCTCGTGATAAATTAAGAGTCACACTTTACTAATTGATCAACACTTTTATATTTGTATATTTTGCAACCAGAGAAATTCGGATGAGATCACATTAGAGGAAATGCGTCGAGATTGCAGTTTTTTTTTTTTTTTTTAATTCACAAATTTAGAAACCTCGTTGACCATATCCGCGGGAAGGAAGGTAACACCATGATGCGCCATGATGTGGTTCCGTAATTCGTATCGGTACTTGAATTTTCGATCGCACACTGGACAGGTAAATTTCTTCTCCTTATTGCCGCAATCCACTCTCTGATGTCTTTTCAGGCTGTCGTACCACTTGTACTTTTTCCCGCAATCGGGGCAAACGTGCTGATTGAGTATCGATTCGTATGAGTTTCCGCTGTATTGCGAGGCTACCGAATACTCGTGAGTAATTTCTAAGGGATCGGATGTTTTGGCAAGCAAATACGATTCGTCCGATTCCTGACCGACGCTGTGGGTTTTCCTCTCCAACATCCACAAAGCGTTGTAGCCTTCCAATTCGTTTCCTGCGGCAAGAAAACAGAGCGCCGCGAATTAGGCGTCGGTTTTGAAATTTGAACGATTTAAAATAAGATCGTAAGTTTTATGGAACTTATGTGCTAGTTGGTTCGAAATCGAGATACACGAGTAATTACATGCAGCAATGTCAGAAAATTCGAAACCGATAAGAATATCATTAACGTACGAGATTTTATCGTGATTCAAAACAAATTCAGTTTAAAACAAATTTCTCTGTTAGATCTTTGTCTAATGGAGGAGTTTTCTTTTTGAGAGTAGACTTTGATGATGGACAAAACTAAGATGCTTCGTATTATTCGATTTGATTGATATGGTTTCATTTCTCTCATCAAACAAACTTTGTTTTGAATATAATATAATTAAAAACACACAACAGTATAAAAACTAAACATTCAAATAGTACAGGAACTGTTAAAGATATTATTGGTTAATTTTTTTTTTTAATTTAAAAAGTATTTGTTACACATTCGTATATTATCGTTGTGACTAATTGTTTCTCTCGAAAAAAGTAAATTTTATAAATTTTATTTTTCAAGGTAACATATCCGTGTGAACGTGTGTATGATGTAGTTTTTTTTCATATTTTTGCGAAAATTAATTATACGTGTGTGGGGAGAATAAATATAAATATATCTGTACATATTTATATATACATATATATCTTATATATTATTTCTGTTTTCTATATTGTACGTGTAAATTTTTTATAACGTCATTATTCACAAAAGAAACAATTGTTTACTTAGCAGTATAATGCGAGACATTTACGTGAAATGTGAATATAATTTACACACAGTAATGTAATTGCAGAGAATAGAGTTTACATATACATATTATGTTTCTATAAATAGCGCGTATGAACAATATAGACTTATTTACACGTAATAATTAGTCTGAATTCCATTGCATGTGTTCATTTTGTAAGTATTATCTCATATAAAGTGTGTCGTAACAAAATATTTAGCAACACAAAGTGATTTGATGATGAGCTTATCTCTCTCATCTCCACAAGTCTACGTCTCATCTCTCATCTTTAGAATATAATCAATATACACACGTACAGCTCTTATGTTGTTTATAAATATAAAGTTTACGAAAGATTTTTTGTAATATAAAGAGCAAAACGTATTTAATATAGTTAATATAATATATAACTTATGTATGTACATATATATATATATATATCATTATGCTATATTGACACACTCATTAAGACAAATGAAACGTTATTCTAATGGAACGCAACAATTAAGAGCACAGTCTCGTTTGCAAGAAATCGCGCTATTTTATCACATCACAAAACTGCTAATTTTTCTCTCAAGAGAGACCAATCTAAGATCGATATCGATAAAACTGATCACTGAGATCTCTTCCTTCATCAATTAGTCTTGTCCACTTTTAAGGAATGACTATTATCCTTGTCACCGCACACTTGTCGCTGATGCCGGCGCAAAGTGTCAAGTCTTTTATACGTTTTGCCGCACTGATTGCAATAATACTCCTGCTGAAGTCTCTCCATCGTCTCTTGTTGATCCTGGAACGACGCCAGGAATTCGTCGCACTTCTGCTGATGACGCTTCAGGCTGTCGACTCTCGTGTACGACCTGCCGCAGCCGTCACAACGGAATTGCTGACAGGACTTGGAGTTTTTTTGGATCACGGTGGTCTCCACGTTGCTCAGAATTGGTGAGTCGCATAGCAGATAATTGAGTTGACCGTGGAAGGGCACTTCGCATACCTCCGCATCGTCTTCGGCGTTCTTCTCGACGGCGCCACATTGGCCGTTCTCGTCTGCAAAAGACACATCAATCCGTTAAAAAACAAGAACATGAGATTTACACGAACAACTGATGGCAAGGCGAGCAGCGTACAACAGCACACATGCACAATTTCATAAATTATCTTCAGAGTTCGAGTTTGGTTATTGTAGGATAGGAATTTGTAGAGGAAATATAATTTTTTTATCATACAAAAAAACTTGAAAATTGTTAGTCATGAGGGTGATTTTTGGAAGTTCAAAGAGAGAGAAAGAGAGAGCGAAAGAGAGAGAGAGAGAGA